TCTCACTATGGGAACGTTCAGCGTCTCCATGCAGAGCATTATAATGGAAATGTCCACACTTGGATATATGTACAAAAAGAGGGTAGAGACATATTTTATGGGGCAAATGTGACATATAAAGGATTTTGTATAGTATTTAGAATCAATAAAATAAGATATGTTAAACTTTTATTTTATTGATTTTAAATACTATACAAAATCCTTTACATGTAACGTTTGCCCCAGAAAATATGTCTCTACCCTCTTTTGTACATATATCCAAGTGTTGACATTCCCATTATAATTAACCATTTCTCTCTCCCTGATCGTATGTATGTGTATGGACTAAATGGCACTCACTATTGATGGTGCAAAACAGCGCAAAGCACCATGAATGCTGTCGTTAAATTTCAGAAGTGATGCATCGCAAGCACAGAAGGCAACTGGCACCAGAATCATCACAGTAGGATGCTCAGGTGATCAAGGATGACATTGCAGGAAGAAACCAGATCACTGATTGGATCACAACACTGAAAGGTGGGATGAATCTTTGTTTAAACCTCAGAACCCGGAACAGGAACATCATACCGATTGAAAAAGCCTACGAAGTAGGAGAAACGCGTCTCGAAAATTGGAGGACTCAAGGACCTTTTATTATAGTTAGTTTTTTATTTGTTTTTTTAATTATTCATTGTTATTTTAAAACTTCAGTTTGATAAAGTACACTGTGTGCATTTTACAAGGCTACCAGGGCCGGACTGGGGAAAAAATTCGGCCCGGGCATTTTTAATTACAGCGGCCCAATGAAAAGGGGGTGGGGCCAGATAAGGTGTGTTTTGTCATCCCCAATGACAAGCACTCCCCATCTCAAAGTGAGCATGTTGGTTCAATGCTCTTCCAGGACATGAGAAAAGGGCCCTGTATTTGATCTGCACAGCGCAAGCAAATTTAATAACATTGTAGATAAGAGTTATAATTTAAATCTGGTCTGCCTAGTGCAATACACAGGGATGAGGGAGTCCGACTCGAAGTGAATAGCTCAATACTGAACCAGGACAGGGATACACCCAAACCTGTCCAAAAGGATAAGAGACAGTAGTACCTTCAGGGTAGTGTGTTCAGGAACTGGTTCACTGTAATATGGCTTTAGTTGGTAGTATAATAATTATATCTGTATCTAAAATGACCAATGGTGGTGGAGAAAATATGTATGGTGTGTATACCTTTAAATCTGCTAGAGGCAGATTTTATCTGTTACACACCAAATACTCTGCTTAAATATAAAGCAGCTAAATAATTACAGAGTAACAACAACAAAAAATGTAATCTGTATAGAGTTAGAATGTACAAATTATTGTAGTGTATATATCTTTAAATCATATAGTCGCACACTAAATGGTGCAAATGGGCAATATATAATTTACACCACAAAGATATAGAATTAGCTAAATCTCTTATTATAAAAGATAAATATGAATAAAAATTCCAAAAGGCCACTGTAAAATAAAATCAAATTGTATATTTATTATTAAAAAATGGATAAATGAAAAATCTATAAAAATAATAAATAGAAAATACAAATTGCAAAAAATGTGAGCCAGGAACGATTTACAAGTCAGTAGTCAGCATAAATAATGAACTTGTATCCTGATAACCACTGTAACCGATGAGGATTACAGTGGATACTGTGTAACAGGATTTTGGTATTTGTACTTGCCGGCTGTTGCGAGGTTGGCGTGCGTGCCAAACCTCACTATGATAGTCTGATGCCGGCGGTCCGTCAATCCCCCGATCGATGGGGAAGGGAGCTGTGTTTTCTGCTGGCAGCTGGCTGTTCTCCGTATCCTGTATCCTCTCACACTGTCAGCTTGTCTAACGCGTTTCGTGGGTGTCCGCCCCACTTCCTCAGAGACGTGATGGAATTCTATCTGATCGTGCAGTTTATATACATGACTTAATAAAAAACAGATGTGACAATTGCTCTGTATAGGTGAATTATTACTGCTACATGAAAACATCTTTTGATATAGAAACTGGTAAAAACTGTATTAATAAATTATATTAATAAATTGTATTAATAAATTCATAAACCATATACATGGAATAATGATAAAATAGTGGCATGGAATTATCAAAAAATAAAAATGAAATAAAAAATAGAGAAGGTTAATCCTCAGAAGATCGTTATAGTGAAGTGTTTATGCTAATATTAAATATATGTATATAGAAAATATATGTATATAAAAAATATATATATATAGAAAGGAATATGGAAAATATAGACTGTATGTTCACATTATAAGGGACAATAGGGTGTAATATATAATATGGAGTATAAACAATATGTGTATATGACATATATAATTAATGATGTCATATAGTTGAGTGGAGTATGAGTAATGCTTTGGAAATAAAGTGATTAAGTGCAATAGAGTGGGTCAATATATGATGATTTAATAATCAATTAATAGTGTAAAGGTCTCAATATAACATTTATAATTAAAAAAGTGGCATCAATGCATATGATTAATTAATCTAGTAGAAACATTAAAAATATAAGTTATACTATAAAATGATGCTTAGAGAGTAAAGTGATTAAATGCACTAGAGTGAATTGGTGTGTAGTGTTTTTGGTTAATAGTGTAAAAAATCCCAATATTATGAATAGAGGTGGGAACTATTAGAAGAGAAAAAAGGAAAAGGAGAAGAGATAAAGAATTTAAAATATATATCAAGGACACTCAATAATAATAATCTTCAGAGAAAAGCATTCAATTCAAAGTCTATATTAAGTCCTTTAGGGACCAGAGTCTCTAGGTGGAAAATCCACCTTGCTTCAATTTGGTCCAAATTTTTTTCTATATTGCCCCCTCTCCAATGAACATCTACTTGTTCAATGGGTAAGAATTTTAATCCTGCAGGGTCTCCTCCATGAAAGTCTTGGAAGTGTCTTGAGAGGTTGTGGGTTTGAAGTCCCTTTCTGATGTTTCTTATGTGTTCTGCCATCCTTGTCTTCAATGCCCTTTTGGTTCGTCCTATATACTGCTTTGAGCATGGGCATGTGATCAAATAAATAACCCCTTTCGTATCACAGTTCATATTGGTCTTGATGTCAAATTCTTCCATACCATCCATAGATGTAAACCTGGTGGTTTCAAATTCTTGGGAAGGGTTATTCATGCATGCAATACATTTCTTACATCGTTTAAAACTTTTAATGGTGTTTCTGTCCTGTTGGACATTCTGTTGTTTAAGAGTTGGGGCCAAAAGTAATTGGAGATTAGGTGCCTTAGTAAAAATGATCCGTGGTTGGTTCTCCAAAATGCCTGTAAGAGTTGAATCGCTTGTGAGAATGTTCCAATGTTTCTTAAGAATTGTTTCTATGGTACGAAATTGATGGTTGTATTGTGTTATGAATGCTGGTGCTGATTGATTCATCTCGACAGAGTTATCCTTATATTTGTTCTTAAGAGTCTCTTGTCTTGGAATGGATAAGGCTCTATTCTTAGCCTCAGTGAGTAATGTTGGAGGATAGCCTTTGTTGGTGAATCTTTGTCGCATCTCCTCCATCTGTTCATTACAAGTTTGTAAATTAGAACAGTTTCTTCTGATCCTTCTAAATTGACTGTACGGGATATTCTTGAGCCAGGTGGTTTTGTGATGGCTATTAAAAGGGATAAAACTGTTACAATCTACTGATTTTTTAAAAGTCTTAGTCTGTATTTGATTTTCTTCTATATAGATGTTAAGATCCAAAAATTCAATTTGTTCGCATGACTGGTTAAAAGTGAATTTTAAATTATACGGGTTATTGTTAAGGTAAGTCTTAAACAGTTCTAGAGAGTCCATATTACCTTTCCAAATAAAAAAGCAGTCATCTATGTATCTCCGCCAAAGGGACAGGTTTGCGCCAAATGGACAATTATCCCATATAAATTCTTGTTCCCATTTGCCCATGAATAAATTCGCATAGCTTGGCGCAAAACGAGTCCCCATGGCGGTTCCTTCAATCTGTAAATAGAACTGATTATTGCACCAAAAATAGTTGTGGGTAAGGATAAAAGCAATGCATTGTATTAGGAAATCAATTTGATCATTCTTCAATTCCGAATAAGTGGCCAGTGAGAATTGTATTGCCTCACACCCTTGTAAGTGCTCTATCACTGTGTATAGTGAGGTGACGTCTGCTGTGACTAAAATCATATCATTGGACCAGTTAAAATCAGATAAAAGGTTTAAAATTTGTGTGGAATCTCTCAAATATGATTTGAGACATGGTACTATGTTCTGTAGGTACTGGTCCACATATTCAGATAAATTTGCCGTAAGGGAACTGATTCCAGAAATAATAGGTCTACCTGGAGGTTTTGTAATTGATTTATGAATCTTAGGTAGATGGTAAAAGATGGGGATTCTTGGAAACTTGTTGAGTAGGTATTTGTGCTCTCTTTCGTTAATGATTCCTCTAAGTTTCCCTTGTTCAAGGATCTCCTCCAATTTAGTCCTGAACTGGGTAGTAGGATCTTGTTCAAGTTTCAAATAAGTGCATGTATCCGCCAGTAGTCTGTTGTTCTCTTCTGTATAATCTTCTGTATTGAGGATTACTAGGCCACCCCCTTTATCCGCCGCTTTGATGGTGATGTCTTCTGATTTCATCAGCTGTTTTAAAGACCTCCTTTCTTTTTTGGTCAGGTTGTCTTTACTGATCTTATGTTTAATCTTCCTTCTAAAATCCTTCTCTACCATCTTCTCAAATACCCTCATGGAATCCGTCTTCACATGTTGTGGGTAAAAGGTGGAGGTAGGATGTAGTTGAGTATGCACATAGTCGTGGTGTGAGGTAGATTGTGTGTTGTCTTTATCTTTAAAAAATTTCTTAATTGAGACTTTTCTAATAAACTTGTGTAGATCTATACAGGCATTAAAATTAGAGCTTTTGGAAGTTGGTGCAAATTTGAGACCCTTTTTCAGAAGTGAAATTTCTTCTGAGTTTAACGTTCTTGTGGACAGATTAAAGATATTTATTTCCTCCTTTTCTGTTGAATGATGTCCTCCTGTTGCTCGATGTCTCCTTCTAATTCTCTTATTGACCTTTTTTTTCTTCCCACATCTGGGGACCTGAAGTCTTCCATCGCAAATCTCTTGGGGGGAATCCTTCCCCGCCTGTCTAAAAAATCATTCTCTATTTGTGTAAGTGAATGAGTCTTTATTTCTTCCATAGTTGCCTGATTAGGGTCCATTCTTCTTTGAGCCAATACTGGAGTTTCAACAATCGGAGTATATTGGTTTCTGTAATCTTGTGTCTGCCGGTCCCTACTTTGATACTTCATATTGCGTGGATGGTATTGTCTTGTTTGGTCTATATACCTCCTCTTTATGTATTGAGGTTGTTGATATTCCTTGTAGTCATGCCTTTCGTTTCGAATTGGTCGATTCTGTGTCCATTTGCTAGTGGGACCTTGATAGGATGTCCTTTGGGAGATATTGGTATCTCTATATGTTGCCCGTCGTTGATAACCAAATTCAGTTGTATGTTTCTGGGGAGATTGATACCTTAATGTTTGATCTTTCTTCCAATTTCTTTGGGTTTGAGTTTTATAATCCACTTGGTCTCTCAAAATTTTCTTTCTTTTATTCTCCCTTATGTTCATCTCAATGTCCTTCACTCTTCTTTCTATTGTGTCTAGAAGTTCAACATATTCACCATTCTCCACTAGAGGGCGAATGGCACTTTTTGAATCAGTAATTTCCTGGTCTAATTGGGTAAGATCTTTCTTCTTCTCATTTATAAGGAAAACCATTAATAATAGGGATCCCTTATCTAGAAGTTGATCCCATTTTTTTAAAAGTATTGGATCATGTCGTTTGTAGGTTGATCTTTTATAGAGTCTTAGTCCACGTGGTACTATATTGTTGTTGACATAAAAGTCTAAAGTAGCTATATCCCACCAAATTTGCACCTCCTTTTCCATCAGTTTGCCTAACCTGTGGATAAGGGATCTTATGTCTTTTTGTTGATCCATGTTGGGTGGGATAGGTTCATTCAAATTGTTTTCACCAACAGACCAGGTGCCCATAAATGACTTTCTGTCTGATCTGATTGTATCAATGTTTCTATTCAAAGCCATGGTCTTCCTCTAAAACCTCAATGGGTGAAATTGTAGATAAGAGTTATAATTTAAATCTGGTCTGCCTAGTGCAATACACAGGGATGAGGGAGTCCGACTCGAAGTGAATAGCTCAATACTGAACCAGGACAGGGATACACCCAAACCTGTCCAAAAGGATAAGAGACAGTAGTACCTTCAGGGTAGTGTGTTCAGGAACTGGTTCACTGTAATATGGCTTTAGTTGGTAGTATAATAATTATATCTGTATCTAAAATGACCAATGGTGGTGGAGAAAATATGTATGGTGTGTATACCTTTAAATCTGCTAGAGGCAGATTTTATCTGTTACACACCAAATACTCTGCTTAAATATAAAGCAGCTAAATAATTACAGAGTAACAACAACAAAAAATGTAATCTGTATAGAGTTAGAATGTACAAATTATTGTAGTGTATATATCTTTAAATCATATAGTCGCACACTAAATGGTGCAAATGGGCAATATATAATTTACACCACAAAGATATAGAATTAGCTAAATCTCTTATTATAAAAGATAAATATGAATAAAAATTCCAAAAGGCCACTGTAAAATAAAATCAAATTGTATATTTATTATTAAAAAATGGATAAATGAAAAATCTATAAAAATAATAAATAGAAAATACAAATTGCAAAAAATGTGAGCCAGGAACGATTTACAAGTCAGTAGTCAGCATAAATAATGAACTTGTATCCTGATAACCACTGTAACCGATGAGGATTACAGTGGATACTGTGTAACAGGATTTTGGTATTTGTACTTGCCGGCTGTTGCGAGGTTGGCGTGCGTGCCAAACCTCACTATGATAGTCTGATGACCTTCTCTATTTTTTATTTCATTTTTATTTTTTGATAATTCCATGCCACTATTTTATCATTATTCCATGTATATGGTTTATGAATTTATTAATACAATTTATTAATATAATTTATTAATACAGTTTTTACCAGTTTCTATATCAAAAGATGTTTTCATGTAGCAGTAATAATTCACCTATACAGAGCAATTGTCACATCTGTTTTTTATTAAGTCATGTATATAAACTGCACGATCAGATAGAATTCCATCACGTCTCTGAGGAAGTGGGGCGGACACCCACGAAACGCGTTAGACAAGCTGACAGTGTGAGAGGATACAGGATACGGAGAACAGCCAGCTGCCAGCAGAAAACACAGCTCCCTTCCCCATCGATCGGGGGACTGACGGACTGCCGGCATCAGACTATCATAGTGAGGTTTGGCACGCACGCCAACCTCGCAACAGCCGGCAAGTACAAATACCAAAATCCTGTTACACAGTATCCACTGTAATCCTCATCGGTTACAGTGGTTATCAGGATACAAGTTCATTATTTATGCTGACTACTGACTTGTAAATCGTTCCTGGCTCACATTTTTTGCAATTTGTATTTTCTATTTATTATTTTTATAGATTTTTCATTTATCCATTTTTTAATAATAAATATACAATTTGATTTTATTTTACAGTGGCCTTTTGGAATTTTTATTCATATTTATCTTTTATAATAAGAGATTTAGCTAATTCTATATCTTTGTGGTGTAAATTATATATTGCCCATTTGCACCATTTAGTGTGCGACTATATGATTTAAAGATATATACACTACAATAATTTGTACATTCTAACTCTATACAGATTACATTTTTTGTTGTTGTTACTCTGTAATTATTTAGCTGCTTTATATTTAAGCAGAGTATTTGGTGTGTAACAGATAAAATCTGCCTCTAGCAGATTTAAAGGTATACACACCATACATATTTTCTCCACCACCATTGGTCATTTTAGATACAGATATAATTATTATACTACCAACTAAAGCCATATTACAGTGAACCAGTTCCTGAACACACTACCCTGAAGGTACTACTGTCTCAAATTTAATAACATGCTTGCATTGTGTTTGCTTGAAACTTATCTCAGGGGTTTCCATAAATGGAATACTCACTGTATCCCATTTATGGAGACACTATGTGTTTGCTTAAAGGGTATCTAATGTGTTCATAGGGGATCCTGAGTGTGTATGTCAGAAATGTTGTGTGTGTGTGTAAGTGGTGCAGCGTCTGTGTGTAGGGGATCTAGTGTGTGTTTGAAGGACTCAGGAGTGCGTATAGGAGATCTAGTGAGTGTGTGAGTGGTGCAGTGTGTTTGGGGGGTGCTGTGTGTGTGAGGGGTGTAGTGTGCATTTGTGAGGAGTATAGTGTGTGTGGGGGGGTGGTGTGTGTGGGGGGGGTGCAGTATGTGTGTGTGAGGGCGCTGTGTGTTAGGGCACTGTGCGAGGGTTCTGTGTATTTGAGGGCGATGTGTGTGTGAGGGTGATGTGTGTTGGGGTGCTGTGTATGTGTTGGGGTGATGTGTGTGTGTTGGGGTCATGTGTGTGTGTGTTGGGGTGATGTGTGTGTGTGCTAGGTTGCTGTATGTGTTAGGGTGCTGTGTGTGTGTTAGGGTGATGTGTCAATGTTAGGGTGATGTGTCAATGTTAGGGTGCTGGTGTTAGGGTGCTGTGTGAGTGCTAGGGTGCTGTGTGAGTGCTAGGGTGCTGGTGTTAGGGTGCTGTGTGAGTGCTACGGTGCTGTGTGTGTGTTAGGGTGATGTGTCAATGTTAGGGTGCTGGTGTTAGGGTGCTGTGTGAGTGTTATGGTGCTGTGTGAGTGCTACGGTGCTGTGTGTGTGTTAGGGTGCTGTGTGATTGCTACGGTGCTTTGTGAGTGTTAGGGTGATGTGTCAATGTTAGGGTGCTGGTGTTAGGGTGCTGTGTGTGTGTTAGGGTGTGCTGTGTGTGTGTTGTGTTAGGGTGCTGTGTGAGTGCTACGGTGCTGTGTGTGTGTTAGGGTGCTGTGTGTGTGTTAGGGTGATGTGTCAATGTTAGGGTGCTGGTGTTAGGGTGCTGTGTGTGTGTTGGGGTGCTGTGTTAGTGCTGTGTGAGTGGTGCTCTGTGTCAATGTTAGGGTGCTGTGTGTGTGTTAGGGTGCTGTGTTAGGGTGCTGTGTCAATGTTAGGGTGCTGGTGTTAGGGTGCTGTGTCAATGTTAGGGTGCTGTGTGTGTGTTGGGGTGCTGTGTCAATGTTAGGGTGCTGGTGTTGGGTGCTGCTGTGTCAATGTTAGGGTGCTGGTGTTAGGGTGCTGTGTGTGTGTGTGGGGTGCTGTGTCAATGTTAGGGTGCTGGGTGAGGGTGATGTGTGTGTTTGCAAGGATTTTGTATTGGGGGAGGCAGGTAAATGGCACTATTAACGTTTTACTAAAAAATAATAATAATAATAAATACATAATAATAAATAATAATAAACACATAATAATAATAATAATAAATACATAATAATAATAAATACATAATAATAAATAATAAACACATAATAATAATAATAATAACATAATAATAATAAATAATAAACACATAATAATAAGAAATACATAATAATAATAAATAATACATAACAATAATAATTAATAATAAATAATAATAATAAATACATTAGATCCCCCTCCATTCTTACCTGTAGTCTGGAAGGGGGGGGGCGTCCTGCTCCTGCCAGCCATCCCTGGTGGTCCTCGTGGTAAGTGAACTCTAGCCCTTTGGGGCTAGAGTTCACTCTCGCGAGACCCGGCCGGTTGCCATAGCAACGGACCGGATCTCGCGAGAGAAACCCGGCGGAGCTGCAAGTTAGAGCTCCGCCGGGTCCTCTCTCCTGGCTCCCCCCTCTCTCCCCGCCGGCGGCCGCGTTTGAGCGCATGTGGGCCGGTGAGGATGATCTTTGATCTCCCCACCGGCCCTTCATGCAACACAGCGGGGCCGGCGCTCGGATAGCGCCGGCCCTGCATAGACCGGCAGGGGAGATCCTGGGAGCTCCCCTGCCGGCCTCGGCCCATGGCCACCGCGGCCCACCGGGCATTTGCCCGGTGTGCCCGATGGCCAGTCCGGGCCTGAAGGCTACCCAGACTCCTCCATCGAGTTCATCAGGGCAAGTGTCACCCTTAATAGACACCAAAGTTCTTAAAGGCTCCTAACAAGGTGAGCACTCTCACATATATTTGCATGACACTATCACCTTATACTAATATACTGCACTTAGAAGCTATATCTACATCTCTTGTCTCCTTTTCTTGCAAAATATACAGAGGAAACTTGACATGTATATCTAAGAGAAGTGAAAGGGGTGTGCATGCCACCTTAAGGCAAACAAGCTATTAATTTTAGAGCCTATAGTCTAAAGGCTCTACACCATGTGAGTTTGTTTTCATTCATCTTAACAGTTACCTCAAAACTACATTACAGTTTGGCACTATATATTTCTGCTGTGTGGAAAAAAGTCCATCACAAATGGTATTTACCTACAACAGAGTTTTCATTTTTGTAACTTCATTATTTGTTAAATGATTTTAATTTTTTTTAATCCAACCAAATATTTTTATTTTATTCCCATTTTATAATGTGCTATCTATTAATACTGAAACAAAAATACATGTAAATATTTGTTCAAGGATATACACAATACTCAGATTCTGGGTGGCGGGGTCTCAGGCTGTTTGTTAGTGAAGGGGTTAACACAGAAAACAGGAAACAGTATGAAAAAAATGAAAAAGTAGGCAAAAAGGCAAAACCATTTAACAAATCTGTGCTTCTTCAGTTTGTTACAATTTAGAGCTTTCTTTATCTTATTACAGGGCTTGACAAATTTGCTAGTCCTGCGCTCAAACCTCCATTTGTTTAAAAATACATAGGGATGTGGAAAGAGCGCAGGTAACTTTTTTCTTTGGTTTTTGCTATATGTATTTTGGCTGATGTGTACTATGGTCGTTGCT